ACGGGCGGGCAGGCGCACCCCAGCCTCAGCGTGCAGCCAGTGCTGAAGCATCTCTGCCACACGAGAGGGAGCGAGTGCGGCTCGGCGCTGTGCGTGCCGCAGGAGCGGTGCCAAGCCCAGAGCTGGCACATGCCCACCCCTCGCCCGGTGCCAAGGGGGGGGGGCCCCGTCCCGCTCTGGGAGCGGTGCCAGCGCACGGGGCCCAGCCTGTCAGAGCTGCCGTCTGGCCCAGTGCTGGCACCAGGCGTCTGCTGGCCCTGCCCCGGGCCGTTTAGCGTGAAAGCTGTCAGGACCCGGGCACCCAAAGCTGGCGGCAGCGACCTGGGCGGGCAGGGAAAGGGGAGCAAAGCTGTGGGCAGGGAGATGCCAAAGCCTCCCCGTCCCCTCCGCTAGGCCGCAGGACTGGGAGGGAAGGGCCCAGGCTGGCCACAGCCCCCCCGAGCCCCTGGCGCTCGCCCAGGAGCAGGCTAGGGGAGCAGCTGGGGTGGCAGGGGAACAGCTCGGCCCCGCTGGGCGAAACTGGAGGGGGGCTGGAGCCCCCCCTGCCCAGCTCTGCACCCCGGGGTGCCCGATGGCGGGAAGCGGAAGGGAGGAGGGGGAAGGGAGAAGCACCACTCCTGCTGCTCGAGGGTTTGCTCTGTATTGGAGTCTGCCACCGCGTCGGCGTGGCTAGGTCCGGGGCAGGCTGCACATCTCGCAGTGGTCCGTGCCCGGCTGGTTCATGAAGGTGCAGTGCTGGCAGGCCCACATGGCTGCCGACACGGCGTGCGTCGAGCCGCCCATGGCACCGTACTCCTGCAGTCCTGAGATCTGGACGCCGACTGTGCCTGAGGGAGAAAGAGCCCAGTCAGAGCCACGGGGGGGAAGTGCTGGGACCAGGCAGGTCCCCTCCCTAAACCCAGACCAAGTTCCATGTCCCAACCCAGGTGGGGGGTCCCTGCTGCGATGCTGCCCCCGCCCCCAAGGCCGGTGCCCCGGGGAGGCTCCCAGCTGCTGGCGGATCTCAGCACCCCACAGCTGAGCATGGCAGATCCCACGCTGCAGCCCCAAAACCCAGCCCCACCTCTCCGCTCGATGCAGGGCACAGCTTTCCTCCTGCCCGAGCCTCCAGCAGCCTCCACAGCAGCTCAACAGCAGCACTGTGCGGCCACCAGCCAGCTCGGCCCAGCCCCAGCCCCGGTGACAAGGGACCCCCGCCCAGAGGGACCCTCTTTCTTACTGCAGAGCTGCTCGATGGTGGCCCACTGCTCTGATTTTTTCCAGGTCTGTGCGAGCTCCTCGTTCTTGGTCCTCACAGCTTCCAGCAACAAGCTGATGCTGTCCTGGAAGCCACGAGAGGAAAATCAGCGCTGGACACTCCTCCGGCAGCCAGGCTGGAGCTGGGACCAGGGAAGTGCCTCCCTGCCTGCCTCCACCACACACAGCAAGACAGTGCTGCCCAGGCCGGGCTGCTGCCCCCTCGGATTGCACCAGCGACGTTCACCAGCAGGAAGACCCAAGTTTATCCTTTTTGCTCCCCCCTAAACCCCAAACACTTCCCTTTCCTCTGTGTGGAGGAGGTTATCTCCTAACCAGGCTGTGGCTGACCCACCAGGCCCGTGTGCCGGCGCTGTGGGCTGAGCCTGACTCCCGGGGGTGCCAACCCACCGTGCCGGAGGGTGCTGGCCCCCAGCCCCGCACGCAGCCCCAGCCTGATCTCCAGCTGCCCAGGGTCAGCCCGGCTGCCCTGCACATGCGCAATCCTTGGCGCCCTCGAAGCTTCTGGCAAACACATGGCTCTTTTTTTTTTTTTTCACTGGCACGCTGCTTACACCAGGAAGGTCCAGTGGTGCAGATGTCAACCAGGGGCCTGGGCAGCCGCCAACATCCCGATGCCCAGCCAAGAGCGGCAGAGCCACACAGCCAGGAAGTCATTTGCCTAGCTGAAATTTGGGGGCTCTGATCTTGTTATCGTTATGACAGGAATTTCTGATTCTGAGATATTTTTAAAAATGTTTCCAGTTCTCAGAGGTGCAGCCAAGTTGGCTCCGTCTGGTCTGCGACCTTGGTAACAGCCACCACCCTCCTCACTGCTCCGAGCAGCGTGCTGAGAGCTTTTGGTCTAGTTGGGGGCTTTGGTTTCACTTTTTAAACCCCTTGCTGACAGCTCAGCCCAGAGGAAGAGGCGTTGGGGACTGCCCTGTGCAGGCACCCAGCCGGGGGACGAGGCAGGGGCTGGCAGCCTGGGTCGGTGTCCTCCACAGGCACCAGCGGCACCCCGCCAGGAGCTCAGGACCCTGGGGGCGGCAATCCTGACATGACCCTTTCCTCCCCATCACGTACCTGCAGAGGCATGACTTCGTTTGTGACCAGGAAAAGGAGCAGATGGAAATCGGAAATGATGTCTAGGAAAACGGAGGATGTATTTTGGGACAGGTACGTGGCCAAGCTGTGGAAGTCCTAGAGAGAAGGGACAGTAATAAAGAAAAGTCACTTCCCCCCCAGCATCATAACTTTATTTTCCTACTTGGATCCACTAAGAGACACTGTAACATTCCTGTCTCTTTTGGGCATCGGCTGCAATGTGCGGAGCCCCTACCGAAATCAGATCCCAGGCTGGCCGACCGAGTTGCAGCTAATGCCTTCCAGAGAAAAGGACCTTTGGGCCCACGCTGGCTCTCCTACCCGAACACTCCAACAGCCCTGGCACATACAGAGCAGATCCCAGAGCCAGGAGATGCTGAGCAGAGGCCAGTCAGCTCAGCCCAAAGCCCAGTCCCCAAAGAAGAGGCAGAGGAGGACAAAGCAGCCCCTTCCTTCCTCTTTTCCTCTGCTCTTGAACCCAGGGCATCCTCAGAAACGAGGACCAAAGCTGTGAACAGCCAACCTCTCCCGCTCTGCTGACAGAGCCACAACGGGCAGCGACCCTTGTCTTGTGATGACTTTTGGAGGAAGCCTTTGACATCTTTGGCACGGCCTCCTTAGAGAAACAAGCTGTTGCTGCTTTGACGCAGCTCAAGCCTTCCGTGCGCTGGCAAAACCCAGCGAGAGCCTCGAGCTGTCCGGCAGCTGCCTCCACTCAACGTTATGGGCCTCTTGCAGTAAATGGCCTCTGTGTTTTAAAAAAAAAAAAAAAAAAAAAAAAAAAAAACGGGCACAGACAGG